TTTTATTTCTAAAGAAAATATCTAAATACCTAAAATGTGTATGTGTCTATGATATGGAATAGAGCAATAAAACACACACAAATAAACTCCCATTATACTAGAACATTCTCAAATGATATTACACCTATATGAGTAGTGTGCTCATAAAAGACTTTCAGTATTAATCCCTTAATAAGCGAATCCGCAATCATGGAGTTTGTCCCAATGTACTCTATAGGAATTTATCCACTCTGCGCCCTTCCTTTAACAACTAGGAACTTTATGTAAATATATTTTGACTGAATTGGGCTCCTATTATTATTGGGATATAGAACTGTTGAGTTATTGTCACAATATAACTTTAGTAGTTTTTTAATACCACTAAGATGCACAACAAAATTTTACAACCATAATCTATTATTAGATGCCTTATAACATGCTACAAATTTAGTTACCATGGTGGAAGAAGGTATAAGTGTTTGTTTAGCACTTTTTCGGGAAATGGCTCCTCTAGTCAACATATAAATATATCCTTAAGTGGATCTCTTACTATCTTGACATCCAGCATAATCAGAATTCAAATACCCAATAATTTTTAAATGATCTAACCTCTTGTATAGGAGCGTGTAACTCTTAGTTCTTTGTAAGTATCTCATAGCCCTTTTAGCTGCTTTCTAGTGATCTGTCCTATTGTTATTTAAATATCTACCGATCATCAAACAATGAATGTTATGTCTTGACGTGTATAAACCCGAATATACATTAGACTCCCAACTGCTGAAGGATAGGGAATCTTCTGCATTTCTTTAACGTTAAGGTCATTCTTAGGACACTGATTGCGACTGAATTTATCTCTCTTAGCGATAGGGGTACCTCTTGGTTTACAATCTTTCATAACATATCTTTTAAGCACCTTTTCTATATAACTCTTTTGAGATAATCTAAGAATACCCCGAGAGTGATACTGGTGAACAAATGAAACTTCACCAAGATCTTTCATCCCAAAATTCTTTGATAGAAATTTCTTAGTCTCATGTAATATTTCCTTATTATTAGCAACAAGAATATGTCGTCAACATACCAAACAAGAGATATATACCTATTCCCACTGAACTTGTGATGCACATAATCTTTAACAAAATTTCTCTCAAAACCAAATGAGATAACTATTTAATGAAATTTATGGTACTATTGACGAGAAGCCTATTTGAGTCCATTAATGGATTTTCTTAATTTACAAACAACTATTTATGGGTCACCAGACACAAACTTTTCTAGTTGCACCAAATAAATTGCTTCATCAATGTCACCATTGAGAAACATTATTTTAATATCCATATGATGTAACTCAAGATTAAAATGTGTAACAAGAGCCATGATTGTCTTAAAAGAGTCTTTCAATGAAACCAAAGGAATGGCTCTTTGTAATCATTGCTTTCCTTTTGGGTAAAAAGTCTCTTTATAATCAATGCCTTCCTTTTGAGTAAAGCCTTTAGCTATAAGACGAGCTTTATATCTTTCCACATTACCTTATGAACCCCTCTTAGTCTTAAATATCTATTTGTAACCAATGGGTTTCTTACCTTTAGATAATGGGAGAACATACTTAATTTTCTGACTGAGTTGGTTTTCAACTTCAGCTTTAAAATTTTTAAACATGTCTACTGACTCTGACTTTTTATAAATAAGATATAGGTACCCATAACATGAGTAATCATCTATGAATAATATAAAATATCGTTAACCATTCTAAGAAGACGAAGGAAATGGGCCATAAATATCATTATGTATCAATTCTAAGCCATCTGAGGAAATCTATTGGCACCTAATCTATTTTGTTTGATATGCTTTTTTTTTATGCACTCAACATAGACTCTAAGTCTAAAATATCAAATGAATTTAAGATACCTTCTTACACAAGTCGTTCAATTTTATATTTGGATATGTGACCCGAACACTTATGTCATAGCTTGGTTGAGTTATCATTAATATATAGCTTATGTTTAGTACCACATGAATCCACATGTAAGGTTTTATTATATAATGCAATAGTATCAAATAAATATAGGTTGTCAAATGTACTTAATGAACCACTTCCAAATGTGCTAGAATTGAATGAAAGAGTAAACTGATTATTTCCAAAGGAATAATAGTAATCGGATTTGTCAAATAAGGAAATAGAAATCAAATTACACCTAAATGACGGTACAACAAAAGTATCTTTCAAATCTAGATAACATATTGTTCCTAATAACAACCTAAAATGCCATGTTGCTTCAACTTCCACTTATTTATCATCACCCACATAGATGTATCTTTTAGAACCAATTGGCTTTCGACAACTCAAGCAATCCTGCATAGAAACACTAATGGGAGTAGTAGCACCAAAATCTAACCACCAAGTGTTTCTAGGTACAGAAGCTAAATTAACCTCATAACATACCAAATTAAGAAATGTACCTTTCTTTGTACGCCAAGGGTGATATTTGGCACAATCCTTCTTTACATGTCTGGGCTTTCTACAAAAGAAACATGTTTTTTCTTCTTTGGGTTTCTTTTGCCCAGGACTATCAGCATCTTCATAATCCTTCTTTCTCTTTTTCCCCTTATTTTTAGAGGTGTTAGCCAGATGAGCACTTTGAGTTTTCTCTTGCTTCAACCTATCTTTCTCTTATATATAATATGAAATGAGATCATTGAGAGTCCATTTCTCCTTTTGACAATTATAATTGACTTTGAATTGACTATATTTTGTAAGAAGTGATATTAATACTAAATGCACGAGTAAGTCTTCAAACAACTCGAGCTTTAGTATGTTAAGTTTTAAAGCAGTATGAGATATCTCCATGATATACTCCTGAAATTTTCCTTACATGTAGACTTTATTGAAATCAAGCTAGCTAAAAGCGTACTTGTTTCAGCCTTATTGTTTTTTTGCAAAACGTTTCTCAATTTCAACAAGGAACTCACTGACATTAGTAATCTTATCAAATATTGCCCTTTAAAGGCTTCCAAAATGTCGTGCTTAATCATTATTAGACTTAAGCGATTAGAGCATTCCCACTTTTCAAAGTATCTTCTAGCATTAGAAGTACTTTTAGTCTTAAGAAGAGAGGGTTGCCCAGTTTGAAATACAAGATCTAGATCCATGCAGCCTAGAATGATTAACACATTCTTTTTTCAATCCTTAAAATTTGATCCATTAAGTATGGGAATATTGTTTGCATTAACAGACACAATAGTAACAAACATGATTGTTGTATAAAGAACTAATAAAATAAGCATATATGTTCACATAACATGCAAAATAATTAATCTTTAAATTTTAAATAATTATTGAATACATCTCAAGATACCTAGCACAACACTAATATCAAGCCTTAAGACAGTAATATCAACTTGTAAGTGGTACTCTTAGTATAGTGATCAAATGTTAACAATAAATCCTGTCAGATAATAAGCTTATCTTTGGACCAACTTATTATTCACTTGAAAACCTTATAATTATTACACATTCATCACTACAAAAGTCTATGCAATTCGGAAAAAGTTACCCTTCTTTTGGGCTAGCTAACACCCGCATGAATAAAAAATTATAATATTTTCTATAAGTAATCTCACAAGAGACCGGTCACTTTGGCAACATCATCTTTCAATTAGTTATATTAGATGTTAGACAAACCTAATAAATTATAAAGATGTATAAAAAATTATTTATTTAAATTACATCCAGTGTTGTTGCATCAAAGATGCTACTACAATATCCAAAATTGTTTTATGTGTATATACATGACATTTCACATGCAATATATAATATCTGAATTATTCTTAAATGTGAGCAATACTAAAAGAATCATAGGCATGTTATTATGTTTCAAATCAAAATATAATATATAATATATTATTATATACATTACCATAATAAATAATATATTATTATTACAATATATATATTATATGTACATCAACAATTACATATGTATATATAAATAAGTGGGCCATGAATAATTAAACTATCAATCACATAATGGTGATAGCGTGCTCTATGCCCATTTCGTGCTCTCATGCATAGTGTGCTGCAATATTGTGATGGCGTGCTCTATGCCCATTTCGTGCTCTCATGCATAGTGTGCTGCAATATTGTGATGTCTTTTTTTTATTCGATTTAATCAATTCTAATATTAGTGCAATACAATTTCGGAAGTCTCTTGGGACATTGCAAAAAAAATTTGTGATGTAACACCAACATTGGAATTTCTCAATTTGGAATGTATGGGAATGTATATTATATCTCACGCTTATAAAACATGAACCCTAATCCCAAATTCAATCTTAATCTTTAATTCAGTATTTCTCAAAGCATCAACAATGGAGTGGCTCTGATACCACTTGTTGTTTTTAAATAAATATTTAGAACACAGAATAACTCTCCATGTCAATTCAATAAGAACAAAAGAAAAGAAAATAATAGAAACATACCTTAATCCATTGTGAAACTGACTGTTTGTAATGGTTAGGATTTGATTATTTCAATTTAAAATAATCTTAGCGTCTATAAGTTTTTATGTTGAAAGGAGAAAAAAAAATCTTGACTATTTAAATTAGGGACCATAACCCCTTAAAAAGACACATAAAAAGGCACATACTTTCATTCTTTCTAATTTGTCCCCTCACCGAATT